AATCACTATCAAGTGGGTACATGACTAGTTAAAAATACATCCAAAGAGTAGCCCTTTCTGATTTACCACAGGAGTCTGTCCTGTTCAATATTTTCATTAATGACTTGGATGATGGAACAGAGAATACACTTACAAAATTGTGGGTGACACCCTTCCCATCAAGTTGCAAGCGCACCAGATGACGGGATCAGAGTTCAAAATAGTCTTGATAAATCAGAGAAATGGCCTGAAATCAGATGAAATTCAGGTAAAAACAAATACAAAGCATTATACTGAGGAAGGAGAAGTCAAATGCAGATACAAAATGAGGAAAACTGACTACAGAAAGGGTTCTGGGAGGTTAACCAGTTTTCAGAATATCTGTGAGACACCACCACAGTGCTATTTCATGACAGACAAATTTCATCCTGGGACACACTAACAGAAATGTCATATGTAAGATATATTAGCTGATAATTTCACTCATCTCTACGCTGGTGAGAGTTTAGTTGGAGTACTGAGGCAATAAAGTTTACTTAATGTAGAAAAGAAAAAAAAACCTGAAGGATGCAATCATGAAAACCAGTATTCCAACATGTGGAAAGAAAAAAAAAGTATAAAAAAGAAAATGGTGTTCAGTATGTTCACTGGTAGAAAAATAAAAAAGAAGATAACTCATTTTGATTTGCAGTAGTCAGTTAAATATTATGAAAGAGCTTCCTAACTCTTTGTGCAGTTAAGCATTGGAACAGGCTGTCTAAGGAAGTTGTGAAGGCTTTTACAAACATGGTAGGCAGACATCCATTAGAGTATAATTGACCTGTGTGAGAGCAGGAGAGTGGGTTACATGATTTCTTGAAGTCCCTACCAGCCCTATATTTTTATGATTTTAGGATAAATCCTTCAGGAAGTCAATTTGTTCATTTCCTTTGTTGGCATGATTAAAGGCAGTTATCTTCAGATGGATTATATCTCCCAATCATTTAGAAGTTTATGTAAAAAATAATGAAAAAAATACCACTTTCAATTCTTAGATCACATTCAGCAAAATATACCTCTTTCTGAACAGAGAAAAATAAAGTGCCTTTTGACAAGGTCTGTAGGGTGGCCTCTCGGTAGCCTGTATATTTTTGTCTCTATGTACAGTTTATGAATTCTGTTGGATGTTGAGGACAGCACTGCACATCTGTGTCAGACTGGAAACTCCATTTTGAATGTATAGCTTGCTTGCCTGCTCTGCTGTCTTTTGTTTCCATATTAAGCTAAAACTCACAGAAGCAGCATACAGAAGTACATGGCAAAGGAATTACAGTAGGGAGTCATTAAACTTTGATGCTAGTCCATTCAAATGGAATGTACTTTGGCAAAGAGATAGCTGCCATCCAGAGCAAACCAATTTTCATGTCGGAACTCCATGGGATTAGTTAGTGAGTAATGCATTATCTGGTGGGGGACTTAAATCGTCTGGTGGGGCTGATCTGATGTTCACTTGACAAATGGGACTGCAGGTTATTACAGGGTCTCTTACCAACCATAAAAGGGGAGAAAGAAAAGAAATCCGAGACATGCTGTGGTTAGAAGAGAAGAGAGAGCTAGTTAGTTCTGTTAGTCTGAAAACAGGCAGAAGGCAGGGTAGACTTGTACCTCTTAAATCAACTAAATCAGGTAAGTACAGCATAAGCTTTCATAAGCAGTGGGCTCACTTCATCTGAAGCCATGTGCAAGAGTGGGGGATCCTAAAATCCTTAGAAGACTCTGATATAATCCCAAAGAGTATTCAGGAATGATGATGAAGCAGAAAAATGAGAGTAGGCCTTTTATTGCTTTGTCTAGATCTTTATATCAAGTGCTAGCTAAATTAAAGAGCGGGTGGCCTTGCATCCCTTTGCAAAGCATGTGCCTTGGTCTGCTTCTGCTGTCACAGATCCCTGAAAGCATAATACTCACAAAGTGGATCTCCTGGAAAGGTGTGCTTAATCAGCTGGAATCTCTGTAGAGTCAGCACTTATCCCAGAGATCTAGGGCAATTAGGCTAAAGGATCCCTTCTCTCTGAAGATCTGGCAGGGTATTAGAAAAGTGCTAGAGAGCCCAAGGAAAGGGTCAGTGCTGCAGCCTGTTCAGAATCAAGGATTTTAAACCATGTGAATAGACCATAGCCTGGTGATACCCAGCAATTTTTCAGTGCTGTTACAGTTTCATTCTCTTACTCTTCATCACACGTTCCTTTCTTTGAGTGACAACCTACTTTTTTGGTCACTCTTTAAATGAGGCTTTCTTCTGGATGTGAAAACAGACCATTTGAACTTACCTCACATATACTTTCCCATAACAAAGGAATCCTCTAATCTAGTAATTTATCTTCTCTATTACATAGTTTGCACTGGTTATGGTGTTCCAGATTTTAAAGCTGTGAAAGTACCTTCACTGGGAAATAAGATGCTGTTACTTGGCTCCTGCATATGGACGAGTTTGCACACCAAATGAGTTTTGGCTACTTCCCTTTCTGAACATAGCTAGTCAGAAATTTGCCTGTTGATTACAGGATTCTTCCATTTCATCAGGATATTTAAATTGTCAGTTAATTACACCCATGTAATTCTTTGGCATCAGCAAGACTGCATACTTATGTTCATTAATATTACCAGTAATAAGAATATTTGTTTTGATAGCTACTAAGACTTAACAAAGAATGGGGATCACTGTGCTGCACACTACGAATGGAGTAGATAGTCACTGGTCCCAGCAGTATACAATCTAAGTAGGTCAGAGACAGCTTCGAGGAAAGTACATAATAAACAAGAAGAGTGAATGGTATGATGGCAGCAAATGACACCTCTTTCAGGGGAGGGTGCAAAGAGGGGAAGGGAAGGGAAGGGAAGGGATGCAGGGAGGTTGCAGATATGGAATGAAACTGAGTTAGGTTTGATTAAAACAGCCATGGCAGAGAAAGTGCAATCAAGACCATGGAAATCTCTCTGAATATCCAGAGCTCCTAGTTTGAGCTTCTTTTGCAGCTGGAATCTCTGGCTTGCTCCTTTATGTAGATGGTCCCCAAGGACACAGAGCAGGTAAGAGAAAGCGAGTCATGTAGACTAAACAGGTTGGTCTCCTTCAGGTACAAGGAGGCACTGAGACTAAGGTTCTGCCCACAAAGGCAAATGCACATGCAAATGCACATAGTAACAGAGCAAGTGAAAAACTGAATATGTGGTACAGTTGAAATTACAAGGAAAGTCATGTAGGCAAAATGTACTAGCACAAGAGAAATATTGTCAGAATATCTTTGCTACTATTTATGCTACCGTGTTCTTCAAAGTACTGAAGGTCCTGTACAGGCATGTAGCCAAATGCAGTTAAAACTTCCAGCAGCTTAAGGGTAGATTGGACTTAATTTATAACGGTAACAATCCATAAGGGTGGATGGGCAGGGAGGGGTTAACAAAAGCAAGATTATTCAGTCACTGTTTAGAGAGCTAGGCAGAAAAAGATCATTCTATTTCACAGTATTTCAGTGCTTTGAAGTTTGACTTTGTTCGAATTTGGAACAAAATCTAAACATTCTGAAATTCTCAGTGAAAGAGAATGGACCCCTGGTTGTTGCATGGTAGCCTGCCTGAAAACCTGCCCTGAGCTGCATGCTCTGCCAACCTTGGGGCCCCAGCCCACTGAGGAGACTTCCAGCATTCTGGGCAGGCAGGGTGGCAGGAAGCAGCTTGGGCTCCCACATAACTTCTGTGAAATTTGACCACTTTCTGTGTTACCTTCTGATTTTACCAAATCAGCTAATTCTGATGAAACAGTGTTTCACTGGAATTTTTCTGACCAGTTCTGTACACTTGCTGTGTTACAAAACTCTTCCACTCCTTCACCCTTCTCCCACAAACCTTTCACACCAAACACAACTCAAAATTTCTTTTCAGGATCATGTTCCCCTTTCCAACATCCTCCCCCAAACATCAGATGGTGATGGTGGTTACTATCTAAACATCATCACCATCTGACCTTCTTCACCCGCCCTTCTTAGCAATCTAACCACATCTCGTCCTGTATGGCAATGCCACAAGCAAGCTGGGCTGTAGACATTTCATACCTGCCCTGAACAATCACCTAGATCCCTGAGCACAAGTCCTAATTTCCCCTATGTTACCTCCTAATAATATTAGTCTTCCAAGGCAGCAGAGATTGCTGCTTTTCCATGCCTTTTTCTTCCACAACCTTTTATTAAAGCAATCTGTATAAACAGGTGATATATCATTCATATCTACAGCTAGTTTAAAGTTTCCTATCTCATGCACTGTTGGGAATTCTTCTGTCTGACTGATCCTTAGAGTAAGTTGTTAAAGCTTGAAGGTATCCAGGACCAAAACAGCAAAAGATGCTAATACCCCAGTTGGTGGGGGGGGGGGGAATACCCTCATATTGTAATGACTGCAAGCAGCATGGATTTGTTTATCTAAGTTTTCAATCCATGACCATAATCAAGAGTAAATGGTTCTCGTCTGTGAGATACAGAGGTTGGAGAATCCTATCCCCTGCCAAGCTTGAAAGAAGGACGTGGGTTAGCAGCCATAGTTTTATATATCCTTCATGCAAGGACTGATGGAAAGTCACTGTGGTTTGGTTTCAATATTTTAGTCTTCGGGTCTGTAAAATTCTGCTTTACTTGTTGGTTATTTACTTTTTAACTGTAAGGTGAATTATTTGCTATATATTACTACTGCTTGTAAAATTATTATTGTTTATCTACATGTGCAAGTGTCCACTTAATGTATTTGTTTGCTAGAGGGTAATGTTTTTATTTCTGTGAGCTATAATTGACCAAAATTGTTTCATTTTTGTATAATATAGAAGCCTACCTGCAATGCAAGGATACTTTGCACAGCTATCTGAGTAAACGTAAAATGACACACTAGAGAATATATTAAATGTTGTGCTAGAATGTTGAATGTTCCACTGCTTGCTACTAATGTTTTTTTCTTTTATCCTGAGTCATTTTATTTTTTTTCCTTTTTTGTCATAGTGCCTTTGACTTGGTAAACATTCATCTTTTCCATGATGCTTCCAATTTAATTGCTTGGGAAACAAGCCCATCGGTTTACTCAGGAATACGACATAAGGCTCTTGGTTATGTACTTGATAGGTATGTATTAGATTCTACTAGCCTCTCTCATTCTCCTCTTCTCCTTAGTAATTTATAAAAGCTATCCCAAAGCTATTCCTCTGGGAATACTGAGATTTTGGTTCCATTGTTAGATACCATTCATGTATAGCATACTGATTATAGAGTTTTCTTCCACTTCATATACAGCAGTAATACAAATTAAAATAATATACTTTGCAAAAAAGTCTAAAAAATGTTTGTGGTTCACATTAAAGATCAGTTTGTGATACATATTCTTTAAAAAATATAAAGGACTGGGGAATGTTTTTGGAATCACTGAAGACTTGTAAAGAGTAGGAAAAAAGTGGATTTTTAAGATAGCCACTCCATTTTAAAAGTAATCCTTTTTGTTGGTCTAAACAAACTTAAATAAAAGTAATAGTGCTGACCTTCAGATGTATTTTTACCCCTGATGTTTGAATCTCAAAATAGGCACGCCATACTGAACTACTAAGAGATAATACAGTATTTATGCAACAGTTGCCATAACTATCGGTAATGCTACGGTCTGTAACAGATTAACAATGTAGACTCATTTTGATGATCAATTCATTTTTCAGCATATACTCAACAATGTTAAAATATTTACAAGCAACTTACTTAGCAGTTATAAATCTGTAGCAGAGGCAGCTATTTTCAATCCCAAGAAAAGACAATTTATGCATACATATTTTGTCAAATATATACACAAAAGGGAAGCACTGGAATACAGTAGCAGTTTGAACTCTCAATATAATGATTCTTCTTCCAAGACAAATAGAGCCTAGAAGTTTCTCTTTTTAAATAACACTTTTTTATGATGTTATCTTTGAAATAAAGGTTGTACTGCAAATAGCTTTTTAGGAATCTCTCTGGCATCCTTTCATCTGCAAGAGATGGTGGATATTGCAGCCTATGGTATAGATGGCTTGCAGTGTCTCATGTGACTGAATAGTCTAATCCAAGATTTACATGATCTGTGGCAGTAGTTGCAAGTGTATGTGTCATGATTCGGTGGTTCGGAAGTTCCTTGCTTCCTGCAGACTCTTTTCTCTTCAAGCTGTTGGAGCCAGTTCCTGTCATGGACCATAATACTGTTGTGCAGACGGTGATGCCACTGGTTCTAATCTCTTGCCAAGGTTTCCTGTTGGTCAGGATCAATTCCAAATGCATTCATATCTCATTTGCATGCGTCTTTGTAGCGAAGTTTGAGATGTCCTGTTGTTCTTATTCGCTCCGATAGTTCCCCATATAACGTGTCCTTGGGTATATGTCCATCTTCCAATCTGCTCAGATGGCTTAGCCAGTGCAGTCATCTCTGTTTGAGTAGGGCTGTCACACTTGGTAAATTTGCCCTTTGAAGAACCTCTCCGTTGGCAACTTTATCTTGCTATTTGTTATTGAGTATGTGGCATAAACAGCACAGGTGGAAGCTCTTTAATCTTCTCTTGATGCGCATAAGTTGTCCATGTTTCCCCACCATACATGAATGCTGAGTATGCAAGCTTTTTGATCTTGATGGTAAGCTATGAGCTGTTCCATCCATGCTCTTTTAGTTAGTCTGCTGAAGGTAGTGGCAGCCTTTCTGATGTGAACATTAAGTTCTTCATCCAGTGAGAGGTTGGTGATCACTGTGGAGCCTAGGTAGCTGAACTTCTGGACTACTTTTAGCTGGTTCTCATCAAGAGTAATTGATGGATCTTGTGGAACTCCTTGTCCTAGCACAAGAGTTTTCTTTATGCTCATGGTGAGAGTAAATGCATGGCAAGCTCTTGAAAAGCAATCCATGAGTTCTTGTAGGAAGTGTTGGTCATGAGCTATAAGGGCAGCAGCATCAGTGAATAGAAGCTCCCTGATAAGCACCTTTCTAACTTTAGTCTTTGCCTTAAGTTGTGACAGGTTGAAGAGTTTCCCATCTGATCTTGTGTGCAGGTACACTCCACCTTCCATTGCCTTAAACACACAGTTCAGGAGTACTGAGAAGAAGATTCTAAAAAGTGTAGGGGTAAGAACACATCCTTGCTTCACTCCACTTTTTGTCTCAAAGCTGTCTGAAGTAGACCCATCGAACTGGACAGTTGGTTTTATGTTGTGGAAGGAACATATAAGATTTAACAGGATTGGTGGGCATCCTGTCTTTTCTAGGACTGCAAATAGACATGTTTTGTTGATGGTGTCAGATGCTTTAGTTAGATCTATGAAAGCAATGTACAGTGGTTGGTTTTGCTCTCTGCACTTTTCTTGAAGTTGCCATAGGGAAAATATTGTGTCTATGGTTGATCTTCTAGCCTTGAATCTGCACTGAAATTCAAGGTAAACATGACTCGCCCACTGTTGTAGGCACACCATGATGACCCTTGTGAAAGCTTTTCCTGCTGTACTTAGTAGCGAGATACCTCTATAGTTGTTGCAGTCGCCCGTATCTCCTTTATTTTTATACAGAGTGATGATGTTTGCATCACACATGTCTTGTGGTATCTCACCCTCTTTCCAGCATTTGAGTAGCAGGTGATGAAGATGTGGTAATAGGCTTTCTTTCCTGCACTTTGGAATTTCTGCTGGGATGCCATCTTTTCCAGGAGCCTTGCCACTTGATTATGAAGCAGTAGCCTTGCTTCACTCTTGTACAGTGTGCTCCACGTCTAACTCTGGCATGACCTGTAGAGTTGATATTTGGTCCAGTGATTCATTGGTGACGTTTCTTTCTTGTGAGTATAGCTCTGGGTATCTGCTTGCTTCTATCTGTAATGGCTTCACCACTGCATGACTTGAGAGGGGCAACCTTGTTGACAGTAGGGCCTAGAGTGTTCTTAAGACCATCATACATAACTTTAAGGTTTCCTGTGTCTGAGACTGTCTATATCTTGTCACAGAGCGCAATCCAATACTGATATGCACAGCATCTGGTTGCTCTCTGTACCTCATTTTTTTTGCCTGTCAGTCTTGCTTTGGTGCTCTCAGTTGGTTTCTTGTTGTGTTCCAGATAGGCTGTGTTCTTGATGTTAATGAGAGGTGATAGTTCTTCTGCATTCTACTCAGACCGTCCAATAGGGACTGGTTTCTTTTCCCCAAATGTAGCTTTAGCTGTTTCATGGGTTGCAGTTCTTAAACCTTCCAAAATTTCCTCTGCCTTCTTTGATAGTGATTTCCCAAACATGCTGAGTTCGAAAGCCTTCACAAACTTTTGGCACTTCCTTTGGTTCTTGGTGTTAGTGGTGTTGATTTTGGACTTGCTCCTAGGTTTTGCTCTATGTAGTCTCTTTGCTTTAATTTTCCCTTTGTTAATGATCAGGGGATGGCTAGTGTCACAATCAGCACCATGGAACATGAGGGTCGTCTTCACTGAAACTAGCTCTTTCCTCCTAACAATAACAAGGTCTAGTTGGTGCTAGTGGCCTTGATCGTGGATGTTGCCATGACACCTTGTGGTGATCATTTCCAGCAAAATATGAATTGGTAATGCACAGTTGATTTTGGGTGCAAAAGTCAAGAATTTGTTGACAATTTTCATTCATGTTGCCAATGCCAGAATGTCTTAAGCAATCTGGCCATGAATCATTGTCTGCTCCGACTCTTGCATTGAAGTCTCCAAGGAGAAATAGTCACTCAGTTGATGGTATTTCTTTGACAACTTGGTGCAGAGTGTCATAACATTTATCCTTCTCCTCAGGGCTGGAGTTAAGTGTTGGTGCATATGCACTGATCATGTTTGCAAAGCTGATGGTCATCTAAATCCTAACTGAGATGATGTGCTGTGACTTCCCAGTGGGTGTTTCTATAAGCATTACTATTTTATTGTTCAAACTGATGCCATGCAGACAATTTTCTTCAGCAGTTTTACCTTGACAAAAGAAGGCATAATTGGCCTCGTGGATAGAACCAGCATCTTCAAGTCTTGGTTCCTGGAGTGCTGCAATGTCAACGCTGATTTTGTACAACTTGCGGTCAGTCAAGACTGACTTCCATATGCTGTTCACATACTGTAGGTCACCATAGTCTGTCAGGCCAGGACTCATGGTCCTGACATTCTAGCTTCCAAACTGGAAAGTTCCTGGTTTCTCGTTTTCACTAAGGGTGAGGTTTCCATCTGCTTTTTGGCTCTTGGATTAGCCCCATGCACTCAGTTAGGCAGACAAACTATGGCAGGTCAGCACCTAACTGTCCAGGGGCTTCCCTGCATTATGGCAAGTAGTAGCTGACCAGTGGAATGCTATGATTCCTCCTGCTGTCAAAGGTGACCCATGGCACCCTCCTCTATGCCAGTCAAGTGAGAGCTCATAACCCATAACTACCACCTTCTGTGTTGTGTCCATGCTACCACCAAGGATGAGGTGTCCTCTCCATGTGGTGGGACTGCAACAGCCTGGGCAGTTGATATTGTGATGTTGCTTTGCTCATGTATCGGCATACCCCTCTTGGCTACACTGGTTTGGCCCAAAGAAAGGGAGGGAGTCAATATGTTTGAAACCAGCTACACTGCAGGAGTTGCCAGTGCAGAGAAGGTCTTCCATCTGTCTGCCTTTCAGGGCTCCACTCCTAGATTGGTTGCCAACCATGGCTGAAGAGTCCAGTCTGCCCTGCGTGGATGCCATTGGCAAAATCACTGACCAATTATGCTCGTACACCTTTTGAGGGCATTTCCTCCATTAAGGGTTCCACTGGTCTCCTCAGGCGCTCAGCTGCCTGAAGCCGTTGGTGCTTCCTGAGGTTGCCAGGTTAATTAACCACCACCCAGCACTCGGCATTGTCCAGTACAGGTTGTACTGCTTATGGTCATAGCAGTAGCAGGTTAGAGAGATCCTGACCATGGAGCTCTCTAAACAGTGATTAAGTCAAGAATAATTTGATGTTTTGAGTGATTAGTTTCATGAATAACTTGGTACTTCTCCCCATTATCTAATTTTTTTTCTTTATTTTTTAAAAACGTATACATACTGTGTGATACCCCTAATAGTTATGTCTTCCTTCTTCTTATGAGAAGAAAGTTTGTTTGATAATAT